GGAAGGATGACAAACAGGGAATCTAGAGTCTGCGCGCTGAAGGGGCGGTCGAGTTCACCTTGTCGAGTCCTCCGTGCAGGAGAGAGCACTCGCCCCACAAAAGGTGAGGAGACCCGTCCTCCGTCACACACGGTGGCCAATTCCGTATCAGGACTCAGATCTGAGGCCCTCACTTCAGCACTCCTGCCGCCACCTCTGGACAAACGCGCTTTCTCACTCACGAGCCCGACTTTACTAATGCACACCCCACGGTCGGCGGTGCGGCGAGGAACGAGCCCTGGGCATGCCAGACGGGAAAACGAAAGCTCAGGCCCGCGTCGCGGCAGCAGCGGCGGCGGCGGCGGCGGCGGGGGCGGGGGCAGAGGCAGCGGCAGCAGCTCGGAAACGCCCGCCCAGACCACTGACAGGCACACGGGGAAGAGCGCAGCCCAGACAAAGAGGCAGGGAGCGGCCGGTGCGGGGCGCGAGCAGAGGCGGGGGAGCGCGGGGCCAAGAGGAGGCAGCTCGGCAGAGGGCGGGAGGACTCGGCAGCGGCTGACACCGAGAGGCTGCGGCGCGGGGCGCGGGGCTCGCGCTCGCTCGGGGATGCACGCGGCCGAGGTCGACGCCACCTCTGGGGCAGCGGCCGCTCGCGCGACACAAGCAGCGACAGACCGCGAGCACTAGCGCTCCGCGCACTCACCACTGGGAGCTCCGTAATGGCGGCGGCCGGGGCGGAGAAGCCGGGGGGCGGGCCCGCCGCAGCCAGTCACCGCCGCCGGCATCTTTCGAACCCGCTCGGAAAACCGCTGAGGGAGTGGGGAGAGGAGGGGAGGGGGAGGAGCGGGAGACCGGGGGGTGGGGGGGGCGGCGCCGGAGTCCGCCGCGGGCCTCGGGAGCATGCGCGAGGCCGCAGCCAATCGGAGCGCAGCGGGAGGACGCTGGCGCAGGCGCGCTGGGACGCAGGGCCCTGGACCGGGGAAGAGCTCCCCCCCTCCTCCCCCAGAGTCCAAACAAAACAAGGACGAGAGCGCGCGCGCCAGAGGGCCCCGGAGGAGGCGTCAACGAGAGGGGCAGGGGGCTAGACCGCGGGGGAGAGGGGACGGAGGGCGGAGCGGCCGGGAGAGGCAGACAAAAGGCGCCACCTCCGGGGACCCGAGCGCCCCGCCCCCTCCACTCTGGGAGCGGCGTCGGCGCCCCGGGCGAGCGGCCTTGGCCACTCGCCTTCGGGGCCCAGCGAGCCCGCACCCGCTCCCCGCCCGCCTGTTCCGTCCTGCGTTACCTCTGCACTCCCCCCTTCCTGGCGCCCGCGTTCCGCACGGCCTCTCGGCGCCGCTCCCGCTGCCGCTCGTCGTCTCCGCCGCCGCTGTCCTCCAGGCCCAGCCGCCGAGCTCTGCCGCCCCGCCCCCCTGCTCGCGGCCCCGCGCGCACGCGCACGCGCACACGCCCTGCCGGCCCCGCCCCCGCGCGTGACCGCGCACGCGCCCCCAGCAGGCGGGAGCCGAGGGAACGCGCGCGCCTTGGCTCCCCGGCCGGGCGCGCGGGGACGCGAGAGGGCGCTGCGGGACGGGAGGACGCCCGCCCAGTCTCGCCGCCCAGCCTCGCCGCCCAGCCTCGCCGGGGCCGGCCCGGGGCTGCCCGTTGGCTTGGGTGCGGTTGCGCTTTCCTCCGAAGAGCCCCCTCTCGCTCCGTTTGCTCTCGCTGCCGTCCCGCTCGGTCCCTGGTCGTAGCCGGGCCTCCTGGCATCTCCCGCGGCTCCGTGCAGCCGCCGCGCAGGAACAAACTGCCTCTCTTTGATGACCGTGCAAAACTTGAGCAACCAGATAGCGGAAAATTCGGTACCTCACGGTCCTATTAAGTATCCAGACAGTACAGGGCAGAGCGGTGACTCAGGAAAAGAACTGGAAAAGTTGCTTTTCAAATCTGTGGAAGGGTCTTCCGTGGCCTCCTGATCCGCATACGCAGGCAGCGTTCTCCAAAAGTAAGGCCCTGGGGTCCGCAAACAGGGGATTCCCTTTGAAGTGTCCTATTATTTGGGTGTCAGTGGACTTAGGCAGGGTACATACTGTTGGAAAATGTGACTTTTCAAAACCAATGTATTTAGGTGTTTTGTGGTGGGGTACAGGTCGTGCGGGTAATGAATACAGGGAAATAATGAACATTAAAATTACCCATAGGCTCACAGCAGGGGGACCGATACTCAGATGTATGTGTTAATCATTCAAAAGATTTATTATGGAACCATTTAAGTGCTTGCTAGCCCAGGGCTCAGGCTGTATAATTAGCAATTTAACTTATCTCACCAGCTTTCCCAGTCATAGCCATTCACTCACTCCATCAGTTGCAAAATGAGCTGTAATAAAATTTCACCACCACCACGGAAAACTGCTCACTAATGGCATTACCGATGCTCTGGCACTGTTGTCACCACGAGTTTCAGTCACTTTGTGCCATTTCTTTGTCCTGCTCAGCTCCTTTGTTCTTTATCAAATTTCTATCCTTTGTATCCCTCTTTAAAGACTCTATTCCATTTTTATGTATTCCTGTACTTAAAACATCTTACCTCCGTTCTTGTTCTCTAAAATGTCTTTAGCCCCATCTCATTCAACAAGCTGACCCAGTTAAGAGCAAACTAGGTTTCTCCTCCTCTACAGATTTTTGCTTAACACACACACACACACACACACACACACACACACACACCCTTTATTCTATTGTTTACAACATGTATACCCATGAAGGGAAAAACCTTAAAATTCTTCCTTCAGGTGAGACACACAAACCACCAAGGCTACACTTGCTATAGTCTGAAGTTTTAAGTTTTCTACTTACAAAGGAATTTTTAAATTTTTACTGTATATATGTGTATATATATATGTAAATATTTATATATATTGGTTGAGGCATTTTCATCTGCTAAATGTAACATCTGGCTAGTTTTGATTTTCATACTTAGTTGCATCTGAGTTAAGACTCCATAGGGGAATGGTTTTATAGCTTACCTCACTTGGCTTCTTTGAGCTATGCTAGTAAGAATATTAAACAGAGTTACCTGATGGATTTTGTACTATTTATTTAAAGCTATTAAGGCTGTTTGGCTTGAACTGTAAGGAACACACACCTTGGGAAGTTGAGGAGCAGGTGAGCTCTTACAAAGTGTATGAAGATTATCATCAGAGCTGCGGAAGACCCCCGGTGCTCAGAGATCTCTTACACTGATATTAGAGCCCTTGAAGTTCCATCGTTCAGAGATTCATTCCCTTGGTTTAAGCTTCACTCTCTTAATAGCACTTTTAAAGTGCTGGTACCAAGAACTAATACGCAAGTTTCAAACTGATCATTGAGAATTCATTGTTTCACCTCTAAACCCGAGAATCTCAAAAACTCTAGGTGTCAAATGTGCTGTCGTCTGTGATGACTTAACAATTCTGCCCAGAAACACCTGGGATACAGGCATGACTTGAGAGTCCCGGAAACACGAGGAAATGTAGGGTTTTGTGAACTAGAAAGTCAAGTGTTAAGAGTTCCTCACAATGCAACTGCATCATCTCTAGTTTTCAACAAAACACTTTTTCAGAAGCCAATTCCCTGTTGAAACAAGCATGTATGGAAGATTTGCAGATGGCCTGCTGTCAGTGTAACAGTTTTTTGCTGCCCCTCAGATGTAAAGCTAAGTGATACTTAAGTCTGTTGGGCTAAAATGTCTTGTTTTGTATGGAAAAGCAAAATGCATGGCTTTGGAGATTTGGGCATAAAGTCAGAGGAAGTTGAAACAATTGTAGATTCCAGGAGTGTTCCAGAGCAGAGCTATGATAATGCAATCATGGGGCTGAACATTGAAAAGTTGTATCTTACTTTACTCACATTCCACTTGTGTTATGAAGGAGAGGTTTAAAGAATAATTCTTTATTGCCTGGTGGGGAGAGGTTTCTATTCCTAGCAAGGCTGATCTTTATTATGCCCACAAATCAAAGCAAGGGACTCCAATTTCATGCAGAAGTCATCAAAAGCTAGGCCAGGGCTTGGGGATTCCTTAGGAATGTATGGTCCTGGCAGGGCTGGGAGTCACTTGACTTTTCTGGTGTCCAGCTAGAAAGACTAGAAATGGCTTTCAATTTAGTTGCAGCTTACTACTGGGCAAATGGAGATGAAAAGATAGATTATTCCTCCAACTCCCTAGCCATGGTATTCTTACTGTTTCTGGTTACCTGAGGCCACTACCCTGGTTTAGAGACAAACAATCGCTTTGGGTCCTCTGTCAATGATGCACTTTCCTCTACTCACTGGTGGCAATAATTTAATTCAGGCCAGCAGTCATTGAACTATAAAACTTTTTTCTAAGCTCTAAAAAATTCTAGATCTGAAACATGTCTGGTTCCAATGGTTTTGGATAAAAAGATTGTGAACCAGTTATCTATAAACCAAGTAGGTTTACAAAATAACACTTACCCTCACACGTTCTAGTCTAGCTATTATTTTTTATTTATTCTCTCTCATGAGAGACACAGAGAAAGAGAGAGCCAGAGACACAGGCAGAGGGAGAAGCAGGCTCCATGCAGGGAGCCCGACATGGGACTCGATCCCAGGTCTCCAGGATCACGCCCTGGGCCAAAGGCAGAGGCTCAACCGCTGAGCCACCCAGGCGTGCCTCAGGTTCTGGAAATTTTATGTGTTGAACTGTCTTTTCCCTTTTCAAATACCAGAGGCAAGACAACTGCACTTTAACAGACTAAAGACACTCTGTTTGCCAGACTTACTAAAAAAGCAAAATATACCCAGTTTTGTTTGGACTGTGTAATTTGAAGTCAACAGTACTACTGTTCTCCCTCCACTCCTACTTTGTGGCTTTAACTTATTTGAAGAAAGATGCCTGCAAGGCAACCAGGCCTGTGATAGTGGCCAGAGATGGCTATGGATTAGATCAAGTGACACTTAGCGTGACCAACTCTACTGGTTTACCTAATAGGGGGAGGTCGAGAGTTGATGGAAGGCAGCATTTTATTTACTTTTAAAATTAAAAAATATATATGGAACGCTTCACAAATTTGTGTGTTGTCTTTGTTCAGGGGCCATCCTAATCTTTTCTGTATCATTCCAATTTTAGTATATGTGCTGCCAAGTGAGCACAGGATTTTGTTTTTAAACCAGGGAAGTCCCAGGAAAATGGATTGTTACCTTAAGACATCCTTTCTTTGTGGTTATGGGGTAGTTTGAGAAAGTTTCTTTTTTTGTTCTAAGTAAGCTCTTGTCCCAGTGTGGGGCTTGAAAACTGACAACTCCCAGATCAAGAGTCGAATGCTCTACCAACTGAGTCAGCTAGGTGTCCCTGAGAAAGTTTCTTTAAATAGGTTTTTTAATGCAGTAAAGCCTAGTGATTTTTCTTAAAGATTTATTTATTTTGAGGGGAGGGAGGAGCAGAGGGAGAGAGAAACCCAAGCAGACTCTGTGCTGAGCCAAGCCCAATACAAGGCTCCATCTCACAACCCTGAGTTCACAGCTGAAACCAAGATTCAGACACCCAACAGACTGTGCCACCCAGTAATTTAAAGGAAAACATGAGTCAAAACAAAATTTTAAAAATTTCAAATTATGAGATTGGATCCATTTGTTTAAAAAAATATCCAAAAAGATAGTGACAGAAAAGATCCTTTCCTTTTACAAAAAAAAAGTGAAACTGCATGGTGATGAGGGAATGGAATCTTCTCAAAAGTGGAAAACCAGAAAGTATTGGCTTTGAGTATTATTTATTTTTTTAAAGATTTTGAGAGTGAGAGCAAGAGAGAGAGGGAATAAAGCAGAGGGGGAGGGAGAGAGACAAGCGGACTCTGCGCTGAGTGTGGAGCCTGACATGACATGGGGCTTGATCCCACGACCCAGAGATCATGACTTGGAGCCAAAACCAAGTGTCAGAAGCTTAACTGACTGAGCCCCTGAGGCACTGCTGGCTTTGACTATTCTCAAAATACTTGCAGCAAGGCTGTAAAAGTTTCAACCTGAAGTTTAGAAAGAGTGGCATAATTCTTGAGAACCATACATATTGAGACTCAAGATTGTTAGTTCAAGTTATAAAACTTGTATTTCGATTTATTAGTGATGCCTCTGGCTCTTTCCACCAGATACGACATTTTGACCAAAAAGGCCTTACGTGATGATGTTCAAAAAAATTTTTTAGGATTTTATTTATTTATTCATGAGAGACAGAGAAAGACAGAGACATGGGCAGAGGTAGGAGAAATAGGCTTCATACAGGGAGCCTGATGTGGGACTTGATCCCAGGACTCTGGGATCATGCCCTGAGCCAAAGGCAGATGCTCACACCCAGGTGTCCGGATGATGTTCAGATTTAACATAACTTTTTTGTTTCAGCTTCATATTTTACTTGATTGAGGCTATGATACTTAAGAAAAAAAAATAGAATACATCTAATCAACTGGCAGGCTTATTTGTCTCTATATCCAAAGTAAGCAGCATCTCCTACAGTAGGAACAAGGCCAGAATTGGAGGTGGCAGGGTATGCATTTTTTAAGTTTATTATGGTTTCGTAGCAAAAACTAGTCAAATTTTTCATTCTAGGAAGGGCAATGTGTAACTTGCTGAGGACACTAACCATTAGTCCTCGTTGCAGTGGAAGCGAAGAGCTTCTACTCCTCAGGTTTGTTAGTAAAGGCTAAGCCTGAAATTTCATAGTGTATACTAAGGAAAACAATGGAAAAAATCTGAACTCTACAGAGTATTAAAGAAATGTCGTGGGCAGCCGCAGTGGCTCAGCAGTTTAGCACCGCCTTCAGCCCAGGACCTGATCCTGAAGACCTGGGATCGAGTCCCACGTCGGGCTCCCTGCATGGAGCCTGCTTCTCCCTCTGCCTGTGTCTCTGTCTCTATTTCTCATAAGTAAATAAAATAAAAATCTTAAAAAAAAAAAAAGAAACGTGGATAGTCAAACCATGATCTCCTATAGCTCCAAAGATAGTATAGTTTTTAATTGTATGTGGCTGAGTATGACTAAGGTTGTAGAATGTGGTAGAAGGAACATTGGACACAGGCAGGGTGTGCCCTAAGTATTCCATGTAGAATGCTGGGTGCCTGATCTGATTGATCTTTTTGTTAATGTACTCAGAGGTGGACGGTGTTATCCTTGTATTACAGATGAATAAACCGAGGTTTAAACTATTCAAGCAGAATTATATAGTAAAGCCCCTATTCTTCCAATTCTAGTGCTCCAAAGTATATCCACTATACCATTTTTCCCTCCAGCGTGGATTAAGTATTCTGGTGCAGAGCAAGCATATTTTTGGAAATAAGTGCCTCCTAGAAAACCAAGTGCAAATCTCAGCTCTGACACTTGCTAGGTACTGACTTCTAGGACACTTAGTTCCCTATCTATAGAAAGGAAGCAGTACCACCTAATATAGGTCATAGGGCTGGTGAGATGAATTAGAGGAGACCCTGCAATGTCTAACAAATTTTAGCGTTCAAAGTGTTTTAATATATATTGGCTCATTGATAACTGTGATGTAAGGGCTTATGGTTTTTGCATTATATATGAGCAAACAAAAGCCAAAACGAGTGCTTGTTTTTAGTTAGCTTTTGGTGAAGAGCTTTATAAATGGTGACAGGGATGTGCAGTACCGCTAGGCAGTGGTTCTCAAACTTCAGTGCTCCTAGAATCAGCTGAAGAGTGTTTCTTTGACTCCCTCCACTCATTCAGTTCTGATTTAGTAGGGTGGGGTCCATGAATCTGTATTTCTTAAGTTTCTTTAAGCAATCTCAACACCCAGTGTGGATCTTGAACTCAAGACTTGCATGCTTCTCTGACTGAGCCAGCCAGGTGACCCTGTATTTGCATTTCTAATGAGCTCACAAGTGATACTGATGCTGCTGGTCTATGGCCCATGCTTTGTATGACTCTCATCTTAGATGTTAATATAACTGCTCACTCCAAAGAGCCTAAAGTTATTCCAGTCCACCGTGTGGCTCAATATGGGGATTGGAAAGGATTAAAAGTATTGCCATTCCTTTAAAAGAAAAAGTACCAAGTAAGGTTGGTCTCTACTAAATTCTACTAAGTTGAAATTATAAGGCAAGTTTCAAAAAGTTCCTTTCAGCCATTTGTCCAGAAGGGATTTGTCTGGATTAATTTGTGATGGGGCACATTTAAATTCCACTTCTGCATGTGAAAGTGAACTCTCACCATACTCTGCCACTCTTTCGTTTTTCAAATACACCATGCATCCCCTTACCACAGAGCCTTCCACAGTGGTCTCAATCCTGCCTATTAGGATTACCCAGGGAACTTAAAACACACACACACACCAAAAAACGATGCCCAGGTCTTATCCTTGGAGATCCTGAAATAACTGGTATGGATAGGGTCCCAGGATTTGTATTTTTAGAACCTCTTCAGGTGAGTCTAATATGCAGCAATGCTGAGCACCATTATTGTACATTCTAAGAAGCAGTTAGGGCAGGACAGGTATTTGAGCCTGAGCAATGATAGTTTCCTAGGACTTCAGGCCAGAAGACATATTTATTAACAAAAGAGGTAAATAAGAAGAGTCGGAAAGGAAATCACTGGTAATAGAAATTCAACTGCTAGATGGTAATTTGTTTAGAGAACTTCGATGCTCTTACCTTCTTTGAAAAGTTTAATATGCTATTATCATCAAGACTTACTTCTTTAAGCTTGGTCAGTAGTATTGGAAGTGATTCTGGATGTGCTCATTTGGTTGGTGTGTGAACCCTTTCTAGCAAGGACAGGGAAACCCATATGAGTAAGAGTGGTCAAGTGACCAGGAAAGAGCATTGGCATTAGACCACAGATCTCCCAACCCTAGTCAAGACCTCTTTTCCACTACAGCATACAACTTCTTCCCATAGAAATTCCTGATATTCATGTGGTAATATTTCTTTTCCCCAAGTGGTTCTTCTGATGGCCCAATTTAATTCTTCTATGTCTCCTAATAAGTGCATTAAAGACTTAACATGGGTGACAGGGTGGTTCAGTTAAGTGTCTGCCTTTGGCTCAGATCATGATCTCAGAGTCCTGGATTGAGTCCCATATCGGGCTCCCTCCCTCTACTCCCCTGCTCCTCCTCTCTACTGAATAAAATCTTAAAACAAACAAACAAAAAAAAACAAACCCAAAAACTTTACATTTACCTCAAAATAATACTTTAGGGCCCCCTGGGTGGCCCAGTCGATTAGGCATCTGACTCTTGATTTCTGCCCAGGTCACGCATGATCTCAGGGTCGTGAGATTAAGCTCCTGCTGAGCTCAGAGTCTGCTTGAGATTCTCTCTCTCCTTATCACTCTGCTCTTCCTCCGCCATTCCCACTCAGACTCTTTCTCAAATAATAAAATCAACACTATTTTAGCCTGTAGCATTGCACAAGTTTTGATATGCAGTACTTCCACTGACAGTTAACTTCTGGTTATCTAACAATTTCCATTATTACTTAACTAGTCACCCAGGGGACATTTTAATACTGTGTATGGCCCCTTGGTAAACTGAGTATTACTAGCTAGCTAATGGGGAAAGAAAAAAAGGGGATAGTTTCTAATCTTTTTGTTGTTGTTGTTGTTATGTAGAATGAGCAAAAGAATGATTGGAGTATTCATATAGTTGAGTCTTCTGGAAACCAGAGTTATATAAAAAAATGAAGCAGTATTTTCTAAAAGTCACAGTGTTCCTGTAAAAGTGGCTTACTCACCTGGCAAGATTTTATCTTCAGTAAAAAATGGAATTTAAAATGCTGCAGAACGGGACGCCTGGGTGGCTCAGTGATTGAGCGCCTGCCTTGGGCCCAGGGCGTGATCCTGGAGACCCGGGATCAAGTCCCATGTCGGGCTCCCTGCATGGAGCCTGCTTCTTTCTATGCCTATGTCTCTGTCTCTCTCTCTCTGTGTTTCTCTCATGAATAAATAAATAAATTCTTTAAAAAAATAAATAAAATGCTGCAGACATAGATGCAGACATATCCCAGTAGGAATGAGCTCACCCAGTGGTCAGATCTTGGTGTCTAAATACCATTGTCCTAAAGTTCCCGAAACACTTGAAGAAATGGCTGATTCTAAGGCTAAGGCAGGAAAAATACAAGATATCCCTGCAGCATCTTATCATGTCACA